AACACAACAACATTAAAAGATGACGTCACTATTAACAGTAGACGTGACGTCATGAACCCCCTATGACATTTACTAACCCCCTACGGATCCATAGGGGGTCACCACGTGACGGCGTCAAACCAATCACAACGTGATAATTTACCGGCGGTGCGATAAGATAGGCTATGGTATAGATAAAAAGCTGTGTGACCTGCAGGCACCGATTATAGGCTATGTTACATATACATAGCAGTGTGACCTGCAGGTTCCTATTATGGGCTCTGGTAAAGATCTATGTGGATACGACCTGCATGCATGCACCTATGATACAGATCTATGGTGACGTGACCCGCAGGCTCATATGATGGGCTATGGTACAGATAAATATCAATGTGACCTGCAGGTAGCTTTAATAGGCTAATGTTACATATAAATAAAAGTGTGACCTGAAGGCAACGATGGTACAGATAAATTTTGGTGTGACCTGCAGACACCTATGATAGGATATGGTACATAAAAAAGCGATGTGACCTACAGGCACCTGTGATAGGATATGGTACATAAAAAAAGCTGTGTGACCTACAGGCACCTATAATAAACCTGCAGGCACTATGATAGGATATGGTACATACAAAGCGGTGTGACCTACAGGCACCTATAATAAACCTGCAGGCTCTATGATAGGATATGGTACATAAAAAGCGGTGTGACCTACAGGCACCTATGATAGGATATGGTACATAAAAAAAGCAGTTTGACCTACAGGCACCTATGATAGGCTATGATATAAATAAATAGCAGTGTGACCTGCAGGCTCCTATGAAAGGCTAAGGTACAGACATATGGCGTTGTGACCTGTAGGCACCTATGATAGGCTATGGTGCAGATTTATAGTGAAGTGACCTACAGGCATCTATGATAGACTATGGTACAGATGTATGGTGATGTGACCTGAAGGCACCTATGATAGGCTACGGTACAGATAAAATGTTGTATGACCTGCAGGCACCTATGATAGGCTATGGCGCAGATCTATGGTGAAGTGACCTGCAGGCACCTATGCTAGACTATGATACAGATCTGTGGTGATGTGACCTGCAGGCACATAAGATAGACTATAGACCAGATAAATAGCAGTGTGACCTGCAGGCACCTATCAAAGGCTATGGTACAGATAAAAAGTTGTATGACCTGCAGGTACCTATAGACTATGGTACATATAAAACGCTGCGAGACCTGCAGGCACCTATGATAGGCTTTGGTGCAGATCTATGGTGATGTGACCAGCAGGCACCTATAATAGGCTATGGTCCAGAAAAATAGCAGTGTGACCTACAGGCACCTTTGTTAGGCTATGGTGCAGATAAAAAGTTGTATGACCTACCGGTACCTATGGTAGGCTGTGGTGCAGATCTGTAGTGAAGTGACCTACAGGCACCTATGATAGACTATGGTGCAGATCTATGGTGATGTGACCTGCAGGCACCTATAATAGGCTAAGGTACGGATAAATAGCAGCGTGAACTGCAGGCTCTTATGATAGGCTATAGTGCAGATCCATGGTGATGTGACCTGCAGGCACCTATCATGGGCTATGGTATAGATAAAAAGCTGTGAGACCAGCAGGCACCTATGATAGGCTTTGGTGCAGATCTATGGTGCTGTGACCTGCATGCATCTATGATAGGCTATGGTACAGATAAATAGCAGTGTGACCTACAGGCACCTTTGGTAGGCTATGGTGCAGATAAAAAGTTGTATGACCTACAGGCACCTATGGTAGGCTATGATGCAGATCATAAGTGAAGTGACCCACAGGCACCTATGATAACTGCGAGTACTCTCAGATCTGTACTTAGTATTTTTTTGTTATTCGAACGTCCACTTTGTGTTTTTGTTAGATGTATTTCTATTTGTATCCATCTGATGAGTTAAGCCTTTTTCAACTGAATTTTTTATAGTTTGTTCTTATGTTGTACTGTTACACCACTGTTCCAGGTTAGGGGAGGGTTGGCGCCTTCAAACTAGTTTAACCCCGCCACATTCTGTATATGCCTGTCCCAAGTCAGTAATTCAGTGTATGTCATTTGTTGCCATGTTACATCGTTCATTATTTTGTACAAAAATTAGGCCGTTAGTTTTCTCGTTTGAATTGTTTTACATTTGTCATTTCGGGGCCTTTTAAAACTGACTATGTGGTATGGGCTTTGTTCATTGTTGAAGGCCGTAAGGGGACCTATAGTTGTTAATTTATGTGTCATTGTGTCTATTGTGGAGAGTTGTCTCATTGGCAATCATAACACATCTTCTTTTTATATATATGGTGCAGATCTATAGTGATGTGCCCTGCAGGCACCTACCATACAGATAAATGAAAGTGTGACCTGCAGGCACCTTAAATAGCATATGGTGCAAATCTATGAAGATGTGACCTGCAGGCACATATTATAGGCTATGGTACAGATAATTAGCAGTGTGACCTGCAGACTCAAATGATAGGCTATGTTACAGATCTAAAGTGATGTGATCTGCAGGCACCTATGGTACAGATAAATTTTGGTGTGACCTGCATTCACATTTGATACAGATACATTTTGGTGTGACCTGCAGGCACATTTGATACAGATACACTTTGGTGTGACCTGCAGGCACCTACAGTATTGTTTATCGAGCCAAGCACCAACTGTGTAATATGGGAATATTGCTATTTTTTATATTTACTTATATAAGGCTCCTATTATAGGCTATGGTACAGATAAATAGCAGTGTGACCTGCAGGCTCTAATGATAGGCTATGATACAGATCTATAGTGATGTGACATACAGGCACCTATTTTACAGATAAATAGCAGTGTGACCTGCTGGCATCTTTAATAGAATATGGTAGAGATCTATAGTGTTGTAACTAGCAGGCATCTATGCTAGGCTATGGTACAGATAATTACCGGTAGCAATGTGAGCAAGCCTGAGACAAACAAAAACAAATCTTAAAAACAACACACATGAAGAAAATGTGTTTAAATATAAGATATGAAGTTCTACATGGGTAATGATAATACGCGTAGGTATATGCAGCACTACTTTTTTATAAGTGGTGACTGGCAGTAACCCTTCACATAAGCTTTTATCCTCGTGCGGCTGATTTTCAAACTACCGAATTTCGCACGAACTTTAAGAAGTAAAAATTGTTAGAAAATGAATCGAAAAGGTGCTATTATTTTTATCTATTTCCCACCTCCTCCATGCACTCTTTCATCCAGATGGGGTTGTTGTCTCTTTGACATATTCACCATATCCATTCTCGTTTTATTTCCTCCTGACTGTGGTAGTTTCTAAGTGCCTGATATTTTATAAAACATAGTATTTGGCTGTTGAGTACTAATTTGTACTAACACTCAGTAATATTTTGTTAGTATGTTACTATGACCACTGGTTTTTATGACATAATTCACTAATGCACTTTAATAAATTACTCCACACATCCAGGATTAGAAAAACAGCACTTTATATGAAAACAAGAGGCTCCCATGAGCCTGAATCGCTCACCTGGTTAAATTTTTGCCTTTCAAGGGAAATAACTCAAATAAAGAGTTGTCCAAAACTTTTGACTTAAAGAAGACTTTAGTAAGACTTATCATAAGGATCATTTCATCAATTGAAAGTTTCTATCTATCTTTTATTGTTTTCAAAATATTGGCTGAAAACTGCTAAAAACATTATTTTTTGCCTTTCAAGGGCAATTACTCTAACAAGGAGTTGTCCGACAATTTTGACTCAAAGTAGACTTTGGTAGGCCTTATCATAAGGATCATTTCAGCAATTGAAAGTTTCTTTCTCTCTACATGTATTATAGTTTTCAAAAAAAAAAGCACATCATTTTTTTACCTTTCAAGGGCGATAACTCTAACAAGGAGTGTTCCAACAACTTTGATCCAAGGCAGACGTTTTTAGGCCTTATAATAGGGATCATTTTAGCAATTGAAAGAATTTGGCTAAACCTAACGGTTTTGGAGATATATGAGAAAAACTTCTGTCTGACCCCTATTTCTATTTTTAGTAACGGCAGCCAAGTTTTTCAACGGATCGAAAATCCCCACATCCATTCTATGCAGAATACCCAGAGTAACTCTAACATGGCTTAACAAATTTACACGAAAATTTGACCACAGATAGATCTCATGATGCTGAACACTTTTACCCAGTCAGAATTTTGCTAAGCCTAACGGTTTTGTAGTACTAGTAAATGCGAAAAACTTCTGTCTGACCCCTATGTTCTATTTTTTGTAACGGCGGCCATGTTTCTTGACGGATCAAAAATCCCCACATCAGTTCTATGCAGAATACCCTGAGGAACATTCATACCAAGATTGGTACAAATTGGTCAAGTAGTTTCAGAGGAGAAGATTTTTGAAAGTAATAATGTTAAAAATAACAAAAAAACATCGAAAAAGGGCAATAACTCTAACATGGCTTAACAAATTTACACGAAAATTTGACCAGAGATAGATCTCATCATGCTGAACACTTTTACCCAGTCAGAATTTGGTTAAACCTAACGCTTCTCAACGGATAAAAAATCCCCACATCAGTTCTATGCAGAATACCCTGAGGAACATTCATACCAAGATTGGTACAAATTGGTTAAGTAGTTTCAGAGGAGAAGAGTTTTGAAAAATTGTTAACGACGACGGACGACAGACGACGGACGACGACAACGACGACGACGGACGCCAAGTGATGGCAATAGCTCACCTGGCCTTCGGGCAGGTGAGCTAAAAAACTTGCAGTTTCTGTTTTGACTGCCCCATAACAGCTTTATTTCAACAAAATGAGGCCAACTTTTCAGAATTTACCCGCACCCGTATAGTACTACAGTACCTTGAGTCGGCACTGCTGTATTATACGTTTTGTTGGTTGGTGATCAAACCCGCCTTCAAAAGTTTCTTTGTTTTTTTCACATTTTGTTTGTGGTATTGTTAAATGCTTGACAACGTTTTACTTTTGTTTATTGACAGATTTGCATGGTATTACCAAGTCTCGATTTTCTCTTTCAAAACAAAACGCCTTCATTAACCATAAGAGGAATTCTACATGTGTTGCAACCTCAGTTTTGTGAAGAAGGCAGTAATGATTATTCATTTGAAAAGCTTGTATATGGTTGAATTTGTGAGATATCTAAGAGAAGTTGGAAGTGAGTACAATGTATACAGAACCAAGTACTAATATAATAAATTTTGCTGACCACGACTACGGAGAATCACAACCTCTTGAAATTTTTCAAAGTTTTTTTTTTCTGTTTTATTGCAATAAACAGACATTTTGTTTAAAACTCGATAATGTTGAATTGTAATTTATCATTGTATGAGCGATTCACCTCTTCACAAGAAATATGGTAGTATAATAATTCAATGAACTTTTAATTGTGTCAGCGAATTTCTTTTCTTAGCATGACATTGGTTGCGACCCTAATTTTTATCTCACCTGTGATTTTAAGTCACAGAAGCGAGACATGCTTGTAAATGTATTACTACCCGGCTGTGGAAGTGACATTGTAATCTTTTCGATGGCGTACTGTATAGTCAACACAGAGCAAATCTATCCAAACAATGTATCTTAAATTGTCCTTTTTTTAGTTTTTCTGTAAGATTTACATGTATATTATATTTCATATAGGCTTGTTTCTTGTTTTTTTTTAAAGCACAATTCTACTTGCAATGTCTCATTTAAGGTGGACGCCGAAGTGCAGTATGCCTGGAAAGTGTCCTACAGTTCGTCACTGGAGCGACTGAGGAGCCTGTTTTGGGTTTTAAAATCCATCCTTCTATTACCTTTTAGGAAGTGGAGACAACATTTTAACCAACAGCGAACACGTGTATTAGTTGTTTAAGACTTCCTAGGCCATCTTACAATACTGGATTACCAGAGGATGCCGAATTGTTCAAAACCTATGACTACGCTTTTACATGTACTTTTTATGTCAAAAAACTTACTTGCTCTTCTGGTATTGAAACAGTTTTCATTTATCGTTATTTAACCTGGAAGTAAGGTTTACAAGTATTGATTATAATTGGCTGTTTGCTTAATTTTCTTTTTCTAAATACTAAGTAGTATGCTTATAATTATTGTAGTTTTGACATAGTGTTTTCCAACCAGATTAAAACATAGATCTTGAGTCAGCTCTGACAACACTCCATTTTATTTTGTGCTCTTAAGACCTTAACATAGATCATCAATGAGTCATTTATTTTTATACAGCAAATACAATAGTATACCATTTCACAATAACGACTTTAGGATTGCATACGCCTTCAGATATATATCAATACCATGATCTTGTGACCTCCAGTTTAATGGACAGTTCTGGCGTAATGTTTGAAGTTTATCGTTAGTTACAGAAAATGAAGAAGGCACCAATTCTACCCCTTGCGTACCCTGTCCATTTTCGTCTTTATCGGGGTTATCGTCAGTTAGTTATTCATTACTGTTAGGGAGGGGCTGTGATTCATCTACAATATTGTTCATCACACTTGTGGTAAACATCTGCATAGGCGTTTTACGGTCAGTTCTAATACGATGGTTCACCCAAACAGTTTGCCAAATTCCAAGTTTTTCGTTTACTTTGTGCAAATAAACATGGTGCAGTGCATATATATTAAGTTCGTCTAAAGGATCTAATACTCCGATGTCTTCCATATAATTAAATAAATCATATTAGTATGACAAAACTCCAGCATAAACATCTCGTCAGAGACGCTCTATGCGCTGGTCATGAACACTTGTTCCCGTTATCATGCAACCTCTACTTGAACCTCTGTTTTTGATCATGTAATCTGCAATTAAAATGTTCTCTCTACCCATATCTGAACGGACTCTAGATGGAAGTCCATATTTCCCAACACCTTTCAGAAAGCAATTTTATAAGGTGTCTGCTTTGTTATTATCAACACACTCAAGAAAGGTAACCAAACGACTGAACCCATCTATACCAATAGCTATTATCATATTCCATCGTATAAGCTTGTGGTTCGTGTCTACATGCCACAAAGTATTTGGTGATTGCACACTGTAGGTTCTCCTATGTAAACGTCCTTTTTTTCTTTCCAGAATACCGTTTCTGTCAACACGGTACATGCTGTCTTTGAGTCTGTATCTTTGAATCTAGAATAGATGATTACAATAAGCATAATACGTCAAGTTATTGGCCTATAGGTTTAGTTAAGTTTAGTTTAAATATATTTTATTTGTAAGATAACATAATGGATTGGTCACTGTAAAATCATACCCTAAAGAAAATGGTTTTATGCATCAAAATAACAATCAATTGAATTTCTCATTCACACAGCGATAATATAGATATGATTCACTGTAGTCGCACATCAGATTCGACAGTTATCTGCCAATGTCATGTAAGATAAAGTACAGAGGCCAATTAAAATTGTAATTATTATATATTTGAGAATTACATTGGTAATCTAGATTTGTTGTTTAAAGTACATCTTAATAATATAACTAGACATGTTTTGTTAAGATAGGGACTCTAAACTAAGTATTTACTGAATGTTTGCAAAATCAGATAAAAAGTATACCGTAATGGTGACGTGTGCATTTCACTGGTATTTATGACCGGCTGGATTCCCGTACGTGACACTCTCTACACGTTGACGTACTCCTAAATTGTAAGTGTGGGGAAACGCGGACCAACGTGGGGTCTGGAAGTAGGCCAGCCGCTAGTAGGACATAATCTGACTGAGTTCTTCGGACAGGTATCCCGAAGGTTGGGCTTTGCTACCTCCATCTACTTACTTACATACTAACAGAATCCCCGTAAGGGGAGGTCGTGCGAGAAACGTAAGAATAGTCAAAACCGTAAAAAACCCACAGCAGTATGGTAGGTGAGGGTTGTCAAGCACAGGTAAATACCAATTGGGCAGCCTGGGGTATATTGACGCCCGAAAATTGAAAAGACATTAAATACTTATTATGATGCCGGAAACCGTCCCAGCACAGCCCAGGTTCGATTCCCGACATGCCGACTTTCCAGAAGTCCATTAAGCCAAACTTATTCTAATGCTATCGAAAAGTCATGCACAAAATACAAAACAGTTGATTTCTTTCTTCTCCAACGAATTACAGTTACCTATTTTCAGAAGTTGGTACACAGTAGAATATTTAGGTAAAAATCCTGTTGATATTCATACACACAGAAACCCGTCTAAACCAGTTCATTTATATAAGTTGAAGTGTAATTTGAACCTAAAATATAAACCGGTTTAAACAGGTTTCACTGTATAAGAAAATGTGAAAAAGGTGGTAGTATTCATGATTACAATACATGTATATACAACCCTTTCCATAATCTTACCAACGCAACTCATTGGTCGGCAATATGACACCCTTTAACACTGATATCACATTAGCTATTTTCCAGTCTGATAAAACTTGCATTGTTCAACACGGACAAAATGTGACAGAATCTCCAGAAAATATGATGTAACGTGGATCCGAAATCTATGCATTTTGGGAAAAACCCTGATCCGAATTTTCCGCACGTCCCGTATCTTAATTATGTTGTTGTACGTTCCCACACACCGGCGGCAAAGAGAGATCTACCCGGGGGTTAACTACACTATCAAAATACGAGGGGGGGGGGGTCTTGTCAGGTCATGTGAAATTTTAGACCAAAATTATCCAAGGAGACGAAAAATCTGACCTGGAATTATCCAAGTAGAGTTAATCTTTTAATGATTTTAATCTGCTAAACAATCCCATACGTCAATCAGGATTTGAAGCGGTATTGCTTTTTTTCAGAACATATTTCAAGCATTCTATGGCTTAAAATATCTGTACCAGATGCTTTATTTGATTTTAATATTTTGATAATGTCAAAAATTTCGGTTAAATCAATGTCAATCGTCTCAGATATCGTGATTTTCAGTTCTATTGTAAAAGTCTGGAATGATCATATCTACATCGTCAAGCCGGGAAATAGATCAGAAATATACTAGTGTATAAATATATTTAATTTAGGACTGGGGTTTTGGAACGTGTGGTACAAACCTTAATGTTTTGTTGGGCTAATATCTGCTTTAGAAGACTCTCTCCACAGCAAGGAAATTCCACTTCCTGTTTAGGAACAACAACATCTAAATCCTCGTCAGAAATGTTAGAAAATTCAAGTGACTTAGATTATACATTTTCATATTTCGATAAATTGTACTCACCGATACACTAAACATCTCACTTATTTCTTTAACAGTTAAATCGATTTCAATCAGGGACTCCAGTGCTTCTTTGGGAATGAAAAACTTGTTATTAGTCTTAGTCAAAATATTGCTGCTGAAATGAAAACACGCTGTTCTTAATTCCATTATTTTGTCGGTCAAACCTAAATATGCAAAATCTTGTAGCGACATCTTACAAATTAAGTCAGGAGTTATTTTTTCCTTGTGAAAATTGCCAACGTGGGAACGTAAACGAAACCGATTTAATACTGCTTCCATTTCTTCCATTTTCATTCCATCCCGTAAAGGTATCCATGAAGAAAACGTCCGTTAAAAATATCCGCGTTCGTTTTTTTTCGACAATTTCCGTTATTGATTTCCCGACTTTTACTGCATCATCATAATGATACAACCACTGAACATATAGGTCATTGAACCGAGTATAATACTGATGTTTTTACTGAATATAATAAATAATCCACCGAATATAAAGAAACCGGGACCACTGAAGGTAATACATAATGTACTGAAAATAATATTGAATCTACTGAACATAATGAAAAATGCACTGAATATAACGTCAGAAGTACCGAACATAATTTAAATACCACTGCATATAATAATGAAACTACTGAACATAATGCATAATGCACCGAACATATTAAACAATCAACATCAGAATACAGTCATGGCGTTCCATAATTTTACGTTTTTTTTTTGTGAAGTTTAGGTAACCAATACATAATCGGGACCTTCAAATGTTCAGAGAAGACCTTAAGCTGAGCTGTGATAGTGACATGATTATTTACCATATTACTCTATGTGGAGCATACTGCCTTGAATGTAGTTGAATGTTTAAATTCAATCTTAAGGACTTCCATGTAGTATTTACCTCATACCACCACCATATTGTTGGCTGCCTTGTCGGCCGGTACGAACACACAACGCTTTGATAGTACTTGAATTTTAATTTTAATCCTAGAAATTGGCGTATTACTTACTCTTTTATTTATTTCTAAAATGTGATATGCGATTATCAACAATATTCAGACATGTATTAAAATAAAAATCAAGTGATTTTTTTGTCAGATTTCTCCCGTTTACACCATTTTTTACAATACGATGCAAGAGCATCTTTAATACCCTGACGACACTCTTCCCAATTTATTTTCGACGGTGGACGATATTTTGGTCCTTTTTTCAGAAAGTTTAAAACCTATCGGTCTTGAACGATTTTGAGGTCCCCTGTAATTCCATGGCAATAGGGATCATATCGAAACTTCGATGTTGGACAGTCTCATGTTGAAGGAACATTATTTTCTGACGTCTGATGTAACTGATGTATTATCAGTATTTAAACTTCTACTGTTTTTTTTTATACGAATAAGAAATTATAGGTGGCTCAATGTTATCAAAATATGGAGGTATAAAGTTTTGAACGGTAGGGTCATGAAAAATACTAGACGAGAATTAATACAATCAATACTTCTTTTAATGTATTTTACAAAAAATGTATGTTTAGAAAATACTTTTTATGATCTTCAGGTTTGTCAATTTGAGGGAGTAGTCTATGGTGACAAAAAGCTGTAATAATACACTGTGTTCACTCATATTTTCGACTGAAAAACGATATTGTATCACATTTGTTATAAATATGTAATTATCTTATTGGCATATGACCCTGCTTTGTACTAGAACGACACGCTGCGCAGAATTTCTAACGTGCTAATGCATGCGTTAACAATCCGCAAGAAGACTATCACCCTTCCTGAGCAATTTATTCTGACTCCTAGCCGACCAGTCTTTAGTCTTACTCCTTAATGCCGCGGGCTTTTTGAGAAGCTGCAAAAACCAATTTAAAGGTCTTTAGTTTAACCCGGCCGGGGTTCGAACCCATGATCTCCAGCACTTGGAGGCCAATACGCTACCACAAGACCACCGATGCAGATGTGGTATGGTTTGAAAGATCAGATAATAACATATAAAGATGCATGATTTTACTTCATTTCTTTTTATGTTTAAAATGTAGAAAACTGACATGGATTCTTAATATAGCTGCATTCAATATGGGGCATATTTTTATTTCTAAAACATAGCATTACGACATGGAAAATAGGAGACACCCACTGT